AGGTATTCGGGAAAGTCTCCTTTATTTTCTGCGATAAATTTTAATTGCCTATCGTTTTTAGTTTTCACGTAACACTTGGTTTTCTGAAAAATTCGACCGTTTTTATGAAAACCTAGTTTTCTCGAAAACTGGACGTGACTCAGCAATTTGATTTTCGGATTCGTATTTAGGGTAAGGAACTCTATAAGAATCACCTAGTGGTTATTATAAAAAGCAAAATAGGTTAAAATTTGTTCCACAGTGTAATCTGACTTGTTTACTTTTATTTTGTCATCAGTTATTCGACTCGTTACTTTGGAAATAGATGAAATGAAATAGAATTTGGAAATAGAATATGTTTCGTTTGAAACATTTCTTTTATAAAATAAATAGTGCATTACCGAATGACATGCTGATCTGAAAGACGCCTAATATTATAATGAACACGGTTGCGTCACCTTCAGAAGGCAGCGAATTCGGTTGCTATGTGTTTTTGGGAGTGTATAGAAATCTGAATGTGTGAGTGAATGAGTCATCTGATATACGGGGAGTCCGTTTAGAAGCGAACGAGAAAAACAAAATACGAATCAGGCAAAACAAGGTCAACTATGTAATCGTCACAATTTTATAGTCCTTTATTTAACACTTAATGTACATATTGATTCCTAACAAAACCAGCCGAATAACTGGTTACAAAATAAAGGTACACAAATTATAAGATAAATTTTTCTTAGTCACACCTTTAAATCAAGGTAACACGACAACGATGGGCTTGCTCGAGGTGACGCGATGGGTTTTCCCTAAAACGAATGATATTGCAAATAATTCTTAATAATATAATTACCATAAATAAATATCGCCAAATGTTTTTTCGTGCTTTTAATATAAGAACCTTTGTATCAAAACTTTTTACAGCCTATGTTTATATAATGTTTTCCCAATTTGTTATTTTTGAAAACGGATTGAAATTTTATTTTCTTGGAATTTGAAAATGTATTTTAATGATAAAACATTTTTTTAATGTTTTTTTAGATTACATTATGTAAATTTAAAATTAACATTGAATAAAATTAATGATTTAACAGAATTCGTTTCTTTTTATTAATCCATTTTGTATCTTTATTCCAAATTTTACAAATACACAAGAAAATTACTTTCATTAAATAAAGACAGCTATGTCTTAAACAGCTAAATATTAAACATTCATCGAGGTAAATATATTACATGTTCCTGTTGCATATTGTATTCGATTGCATAAACGAGCATATCAACAACTACATTCTTTTTGATTCTTTTCTGGGAAAGTTGAGAAATTTTCTAATCGAGAATAATTTTAATTGTGTAATGTAATGTTTCTTTACAATGCAAATACAACAAAAATATATTTTACAATATGAAAATACTACTAAAGTACAACTTATATATATTAAAATTACCAAGGATCCTATTAAAATTATACCTCGATCGATTTGATTTAAACTTTTAACACATTTAGTACGAATTTGACGTAAATTTCTCGCAATACCTTTTCCTCCTAGACACAGAAGTTAAATTATTACTTTACCAAATCTGTTAACCTAATTTATTAAACATCTGATGAATTAGATTTCTAAGACCTAACAGATTAATCTAATCTATGAAAAAATTTTAATCTGTATAATTTATGTTGTAAAACAACTAAAAAATCACGGTTGATGAGAATATATAACTCTATTGCTTTAATTATTTTTCATGTAAATTTTTCACACTTTCAATAATTATTTACATCACGCGAAGTTCATTAATTTCGATAACTTTTAAATACCTTGACAAGGTTAACATATTTCATTTTTGTTTCTTCATTTGCAATCATTAACTTGGAATAAGTTTTCATGCCATATGCATAACTATCTGTAGTACTATAATATTCAGTTCGTGATACAGTAATAACAATTGAACTTCTTTGAACTATAGATAAGATACATTGCGACGCAATTCCGTTCGTAAACATTCACAGACGAAATATTCGACGAGTCTTTTTTTTTGTATTTACAGCCAAGTCCTACTCATTGTATGTCATTCCATAAAGGAAGGCTAATAGCTAAATATCCCGGCTAAATAACACTCCGGTTGTATCATTTATTAAAACAGAAAGGGAGTGATGGTTCATTTTAAAAAGTTATTTTGTATTATAAGGAATAAATACAAATTCAAACGTAGATACATGAATATTAAGATAGAGTAGATTTTTTAATTTAAGGGAAAGGGTTCCAGAGTAATACAATTTGTGAAATTTTGCAAATAAAATTTGATCTTAAGAATTTAATATTTAAGTCTTATATAATATTTTATGTTAAAAATCGTAAATGCGTTAAAACGAATTTTTATTTCAAAACTAGTGCATATGAAAATTTTTAGTTTCCAGGTTTTTAGGTATCACCAATAATTATGTGTGTATACGTTTTGCAGATGAACAAAAATTCAATTCAAGTCGAAGACTATAATAAATTATAGAAATTGACCAATCAAAAGTAAGGAAATGAAAATATAATAAAAGACCATTTCTTGTCGGACATTAAAGTTTTGTTTATATTAAACATGCAATTAAATTTGTACGTTCAATTTAAATAAGTTATAATTATAAAACAATTTATCTATTGATCAATTACTCGTAAATAGAACAAATCAAGTTCTATTACTAAATTTGATCACTGAAAAATATATAATAGCTTAAACGACGGAAGATATAAACATTTAGTTGATAACCATAAAATGAATTTTATCGAACCGAATAGTAGGGCACATGTACAAAATATAAAACGTGCTTGGCGTGAAACTAAAGCCAATTTCCACGATATGGAACTCGTAAAAAATATTACATTACTTATAGTATAGCTGAATTTTTGTTTCAAAAACATCAATGCTCGAATACTTGCATTCGTTTTATGTAATAACTGAAATTTTCCGCAAACAAACTACAAAAACCAAAAAAATTGCAAAATAAATAATTACTCAAAATGTCAAGAAATTATCTAAAAATCAAGTAACATAATAAAATCATACGTTGTATTGAAGACGTGGTTCACTTATTTTTGAATATAAATTTGTTTTAATAAAAACCACGTATAATGGATTTTGTGAAATATTAATTTAATCCTTATTCTCAGAAAAAGAGGTATCTATTAATTAAATTAGATGTCAGGTCCATAGTAATAGAACAGGTGCAAAAAATTGCAATTCTCAGATGACAAGTTTCAACAAAAACCGCTGCATCACGAATCTGTTATGTGGTCTCCCAAATGACGTAGCTAAATCTTGGGGAAGTTTTCTTCTTGAGTTATGATTCATAACATATGACTCATGAAGTAAACAGAAGTGGTGTGCGGTGAACTATTAAGAGGTAATTATCAATTCGAACGAAGAAACAATGCTTCGTATTATGCATTTCGTAATATAAATATGCTATTATTACAAATTTTATAATTTTCTAAGAATGAAACTTTTTTATACCTTACTATAATCGTACCAGTATAAATGTAAATATATTACTACAATTATTGGGTCACTCCATAAATAATGCGGATGTTTCATACTTTTCTATATTTAAAAATTAAAATAAAAAAAAATTGATTTTGAAATAAAATATATTCTACTTTAGTCTCTATAAGTACTGAATTAATTTTTATAAATAATTATAAATAAAGTAAAGTAATGATAATAAATATTTTAACTTTTAAATATGAAAAAAGAAGTTTAGAAAACCGCTGTATTTATGGAATGAGTCAATACTTGCATTTTATTTGAAAAAAAGAATGTTCCTGTTCTATATATGAACTTGACACATATACATACAAGTGCATACTACAATTCCTTCTAAAACAATATTATTTCCATCATACATATGCAACATGCTTTAGAAGTTGAATTACAATTACCATACTAGCCTATTACTGTTATAGCTAAGTTTATCTCCTCTCTTTTCGAAAACATTTCAGACAAAAGAACTAAAAAAGGGAACAATTTTCTTATTGCGTGAATTTATGTCACACCCACATTACTCATTTTCAAACTTTAAACCAAATAAATGTCAGATAGTTTCATAGATATGTATTTTAAACAAAATTAAAAGAGAATCTTCAAACGGGAAAAAGTGATTTCAAAACTTTGAACAAGGAATTGATAACAACGGTACTCTAATAATTTAAAAAACTTCTTTCCATCATAGTATACGAAAAAACAAAATATTCGCCAAAGTAAATCTACGAAAAGCAGAATAATATCAAACGATCGTGTTACTAGTTCACCTTGCACACCCGACCCTTCATTTACGCGGAGTATCCGTTCCACGCGGATTCGTTTTACGCCAATGAAAATTGCGTAAATAAAGTCCGTGGGTACAAAAGAAAATAAAATATTGGAAAGAAAAGCTGGCAGTTTTAGGAACACATATTTGTTTCACATTGCTTAATAAAAAAATAATAATAGTGACACTTCAGAGAACAAAAGTACATTTCATCTGGTGTCGCGTATAAACATTGCCACATGAGTATTGTTATAATCTACCGCGTAAAAAGATGTGTAAATGGAGAGCTAGAACAAAGAGAATTTCATTGATGTAAACAATAGTTTAACACTAAAACAACCGAACGAGTCAAATTGGCCCACTTCAGAATTTGTATTTTGCAAGTATTTCAATTCTGAAAGCGTTTTTGCAAAAGATTTTAAATTAAATTTGTGTATTTGTACAGATATGAGACTAGACGCACACTTTCTAGAACATTCTTTCGTTACCATGCATTAACTTCAAGTACATTTGGAAAATCAGTTCCAAATACTCCAACGCTTGAACATATATTCATATTACATACACACGCATACGCTATTCCCAGATCGTTACAACAACAGAACATGTTTACTCACTCATTATTTCGAACTGGGGAAGCCACTTCTTCACCAGAAAGTTGTCGGGTTTCCGGGGCATGTTCTCCTCCTCCCATTTCAAAATCACCTTTCTCGGAATTGAGCCGAGCACGTTCAACAGTGCAGACAATTTAGCCTCGGGCATGGTGGCAACCTTGACCAGGGACCCAAGATTAAAATACAGAACGCCTTCGTGGGCCTCATCCAGGAATTTTGCTATGTCTCTAGGCAACGGGTTCGTCTTTCGCGGAATATGCAGCCCGCCGATCTCCACAACATTCGGCGGGTACGGTTGAGCTCCATGAAGTGAATAATGAGTATTGACTAACATTAACGACGCGTTTCTACCAATTTGCTTGAGATTGGGGACTCCAGGACCGTAATACTTATGAGCCGTAGCTTGATCTCGCCAGTGGAACACGGTGTTAAACACGAACGCCATGAACCATGACATGAGGAGGTTGTCCATTCTGTCTAGGAAATTCAGGGGCTTCCTGACGTGAGTAAATATGGACGGTATGTAACTAGCTTCGAAAGAAAAGCCTAATTCATCGTAGACCCATGGCATTAGCTGATGCGTGGATAGTTCGATGAAAGGTGCGTCGATTCGATGGAATATCGAGAAAAAGCAATGAGTATTGAAGCTTTCAGTGAGCACTAAATCAAATTTTTGTTCGGTTTTAGCGAACTCCTTGATACGTGTATTATTCAAGCCGGCCTCGCAAGTCACAGACGCCATGTAGTTTACCATGTACAATGCCTTGATTAGACGCAGCCGCGAGTGATCTACCACGTGCAGATCGACTACATTTAATAGCACATCCATTCCTTCGCTTAATAGGCTAATATCCTTATAATTCGGCAGTGGATCCGCAGCGATGGCCTTCTCAGTTCTAGGAAAGTACGAAATCACCGTCAGATCGTGACCCCGGCGCGCCAGTTCTTCGAGCAACGGCTTGAAGACATCGAAATGACTCTTTCCCGCATGACCGAAAACACCGAGGATCTTCAGCTTCTTCTCAGGCGTAGCTTTGCTGATAGTCCCCGAACAACACGACAGAATCAGCAAGAAACACAGAACAATCCATTGAATCCGCGGAACAACCATAGCGACGCCGGACTATGAACTTCCTCGTACGAAGGATGACGAAGCTCTAAACAGTGAATCGTACGAGCACGGAGTCTCGATCCGCGCGTCACTTGTTACGGGGAAACAAGTGGAAAAATAACTTATCACGGGTCCCGGAGTTTCATTGCGGCGGAAAGTACTGGGAATTGGAGACGAATGGTACGATAAGTCGCGATGATAACACGCGGCATATAAACAATATGTACAGTCTATTCTAAATCGAGGAACAATAAAAGTGCAACTGGAATGCAAACGTTCGAATACGTTTAACACGAAAAGTACCAGACAAATCAAAATGACCCATGTCTGATTTCTTCCTTTCGCAATTATTAAAATGCAAGTGTTTCTTTGAAAAATTATTAAAGAAATTGATTCGATAACGCGTAAACTGAATTGTAAATCAATCGAAGTTTCAATAGATACACTCTTAGAGTTTCTGTAGAGAAATTTCAAAAAGTCAATTTAGCTGCTCGGTAGTTTTAGTGTTAATACGTTGATCGACCTGCCATATAGGTCACCGATGACTCCCAATCAAATCGAATTACTATAGTTCACAGAATTGAACAATGATTATTAATATTTAAAATAAGAACATTTCTATATTATAAATAATGTCACCTAATGCACTGACATTCAGCTAGATGAACATGCAATAATAATGATTTAATTCAATAAAATGATTGAATATTATATTTTTTCCATTTTATGTATTCTGTTCTATGAAACCGTTGACGTTCAACGTGTTAATAATGTATGCGCTGGAGAGCGTTTAAAATGTTTTCCATCTTCAACTTAGCACCGTGGTTAAGCATTCTTTACTGGCACTACCTAGACGGCGTGAACTGTTTATAGAGACCGTATTGGAAATCGTCCAAGGAGTACAGTAATCGTTGTACTATTCGTACTACGGCCGGAAATTAATACTCTGACTAAGAGAATATGCAACATCTAGCACGCCATGTGTCCCTATATTGTTCAGGAACGCTGGAAAATAGAACGGAAGCTTATTAAGACACAGAGGCTAAGTACTTCATACCTTAATCAGAAACTGGACGAGGTAGTTCCGTTGTTCAGCTACCTCGTTCCTTTGACTTCGGTTCATTAAATTTGCTCGTCTGGGGTTAGTTAAAGTGCCGCGTTTACCAGACGTTAAACCCCATACAGAAGGTACTTGTTGGTAGTAAGCGTACGAAAAACGCTGAACAAAGTGGTAACTGTAGCTCCTGGTTTCCTTCGACATGCTAAGAAACAATTGATCTTGTAGTTAGATTACATATCAAAGATCTTCGATATTTCACAATTATTAATCAAAAGGATTTATAGATTAATGTAATAAGTGACTTTGTCGCTTGTAAGGCGTTGTTTAACGTTAGATAATGTTGTTGGTTAATATTAATCTTGAACACATTATAAAATAAAAAAAGTATTAATTAAATGGACGGTATAAATAAATAAAATATCATTGTATTAGTGTTTCAATGGTATTTCTTATTTGCAAATGTACGATACGTCTCAATTAAACGCAATTCCAAATTTATTTTTTAGGCTTTTTACTCTTTTATACTTTCTTGTGTTTATCTGATTTCTTTTGTCTTCTGCTTCCCCTTCCACTTTCATTTTTTGTTATTCGTTGAAATTACATTGCTGCCTTATCTTTTGAGTTTTACATTTTTTCCTTCCTTTTCCTTATCATAATATTCAATTGTTTATTTGATTAATACAAGAACTAAAAAATACAAGAATACAAATTAATTAATATGAAAAAAATGATATTATGATGCACTATGAGTCCTTAAAATAATTGTATAATTTGTATTATAAACTAAATAAAGTAGTAATTAGTTTTCCTTATTCTGTAACTAACAATAAATAATTAAGCAACTATTCTATCCAAAATTCTTTTCTAGTAGAAATGACATTATTTTTGTAATTAATAAATTCTGTTATTATATTGTTATGTTGCGTTATAATACTGTAATATTACGTTTTTTGTATCTATTTTCTTGAAATTTGCAAATGTATATCAGAAAGTTACAAGTATTGAAAGATCTCGTAACATTGCAACACATTGTGTTAGCAGCTTATGTGCTGTATTAAATACTACGAACTACACGTGAAGCATCATTTAAACTATTCATATAGTAATTATATTCATTTTCACGTTTTAATTAGTAACCATAGAAATTACAATTGCAATTATACTCAAGTATTTAAAAATTTTAATACTGTTATCTAGTATTCAGATAAGATATTATATGACAATATAGTATTTGTTCTATTTCAGCTCCCTTATCACAGTAATCATAGATTATATTTCAAAACACTTTAATACTTATATTACCTTCGCATCATAAATAATCTCTGCGGTATGTCCCGTTGATATGTAGTATTTCAAATAATACAAACGCACATACACATTTTGTTTTCTCAAAAAACTAAACAGTTTGTATTACTTGTCCACTTTTCATCATTGCATTCTGCTTTCTTTTTTAACACTAGATTCACACACATTTATTGTGCAGTTATTTTATTGTTCCTAGAGAAAATGTTATTCATCTATTTAAATCTTAGAAATTAGAGATTTAAAAATAGACAATTAAGATGCTCATTCGTGTAATTGCATCAGTAAAAATCAACATAAAAATTTATTACATAATGTTTATAGAATTCAATACGCGGCAAATTGACGCATTCCGTAAACCTAGTGTGAATATTAAACCAGTAAATCTCACGGAACCTGTGTCGTCGATCGAAATGGATGCTTTAAATACAGAACTTTAACAGGTTTCACTACTATCTGGCGCATCTTACCACTATCCTAATTTCTCCACGTACACTCCCTCGATACCCGTTCAGTCGGTCTTGTTTGCTCCAGTTTCGTAACGTAAGTATATTCTCAGCAAATTCCGACAACAGGTAGTGGCTCGTTAAAATGTACCGTGGACTCGATAGTTTTATTAAATCAACCTAGAACTATTCTTTTTCAACGTGTGTGTACACCAGACACCCAGGTTCGTGCGTTAACGAGTTCAAGCTAACAATACTACATCGCATCAGAACTAAATTTTTCCGATTTCAGGCAATTCTCCAATGTTTTTTGTTTCTTTCTAGTGAACATTCTTTTTATTGTTATTTTTATTTTAACCGTTAATTGTAAGGGTACAACATTTAATAGAATATATTTATTTCAAGAAAAAAGATCTTGAGCGAAAGTGAAAGACCTTATTTCAAAAGGTTTTTTTATTTATATAACGAGGCTTTAATCATTACATCATGGTATTTTATAAAACATTAAAAAGGACATTAACCGTATGAGGCAATGCTATCGCACTTCTCTGATTCACTATTAAAAGTGTCAAGCTATTGTTTCGTGGAGTGAAATTAAATTTACGTTTTTATTTTACTTGTAATTATTTATTTTTTTATTACCTGCTTAGAAATAGAAAAATGGCGCTATCGCGCCATTTAGAATTTTTTTATGGGAAATTGGAAAAGCATAATTCAGTTTTTAAATTAAAACAGATTTTTACAAATACCCGTAGCATTCAAATGTTTAAGAAATCGTAAAATAGTTATTATGACATTATCTTTCTTGTTAGTACAGGTTTCAAAACATACAGAAAAATATTAAAAAATACATTAAGGTGCCATTACATTCAAAAATATCTCAGATTGTTTTACAGCGCAACGGTTTGGCAAAGCTTTGTTTTATTTTTTACAACTTACAACAGTATTATATGCTCGAACAAAAAACTAGAATGTTATAATAATTTTTGGTAATTACTTTATACAATGGACAACCTCACAAATTTTAATGATCTTGGAATATATTGTCAGAAGCATACTTCTGAACTTTTCCTAATACATATTATAGGCATTCGATTTTAGATTCTAAGATAATCGTAAAGAACTTCTGCGTATATAGATATGACTAACCAAGTCTTTAGCACTTGACGCCACCGTCTGTCAATATTAGTAGCAATATAGACTTCACTATCTATAGGATATACGTTAAAAACATAAAGGTATTTATTTTTCAATAAATGTTCTCCTAGCCTTACAATGTTTGGCCAAGATTTGAACTTCGAAAAATAAAACGGTGGCAGTACGTTAAACGAAAAGTTACATTTTCTCTACAAAAATTTACTTACTTTCATTGTAACTGAAAAATGAAGAAAATTAAAAAGAAGCTTCATTAATGAGTGAATAATCTTATTAGGAATTACATGCTAAATATGAAGTCAATTAATTTCATCTCATTCGGAAGTAGTTCAAGTTTTAAAGTCCAATATGAAATAAGGAACATTTTTCAAAACAATATATTTAAAGTTTCAATTTCGTCCTCTAGTAAAATAAGATACTATTTTCTGTTTAATCTATTTTTAATCGGCTCACCGTAACACATAAAGTAACTCCCTTCTGCAAACGAAGTAGCTCCTTTAGCAGCTAATTTTGAAAAGCTCTTAGCATTTTCGGTTTCGTTAGTGGCTTACTGCGCTTGTATTAATTCGAATACACTTCTCTAGACGTCTTTTATAAGTTCTGGAGTAAAGTTCTATACTCATAATACTTAATACACCCGCAAAGCCTTTGCACTGACCATTAAACGCTGAACTATCGATATAAATCCATTTTTTCAACTACTTTTGCACCACTGAAGCTGATCCTGGAAGCAATTTTCCATGAAGCGCGTTCGAACGTTGCGTTAATATTTTAACACTTTACTTATCAAGATCCGATTAGCAGACTTCTCAATGTCTGCGTAATATTAAGAAAGAGCTGAATAATTTTCTTTTAAGTAAAAACTTTAAAAATATTCTAACGTCACGATATTTAGAGAAGACTTATTGATTCACGATTATAATCTTCATTACTGTTAAAATATCTACTAAAAAGTCCTTAATTGCGAGTCATTTCTTTTGTAAAGAATTAATAGAATATTGTCGAGTAGGTAAAGTATTAAGTGAAGCTACTCAGACATCATTTAAGCGACTTATCGTTAATTCTTCATAGATAATGTTTACTGACTCAACAAATTCGTTTACTCAAACATAATTTTATATTTGTATGTATTTCATTTATATTACCTA